TTAGGCAAATCCGTCAGCCACGTCATCACTTAACGGCCGCCGTTAACGGCGTTGGACGGCAGCTAACGGGGAGTGACCATAAATGAACAGTTTTTGTAAAATTAGTGACCACAAATGGATTTAAATATTTTAAGTGACCAAACATGGACGCTTTTTGTAATTTCAGTGACCAACGATGCAATTTCTAAATGTGGTTCCTATAACCACATTAGCAATTTTTACATTTCTCTATTTAGCAATCTCTAATCATGAGCATCTCTAAAATATGTTAGCAATTTCAAATATGGTCGCACTTATTATTTTAAATCTATCAAAACACTTTTCAATTGAAAAATTATCAAATACGAAATAAATAAAAAAACAATTATACATGTGACATTACTAGAGATTTTCAATATAACAGCACTTCTACCTCACTTGAAATGTGTCATATAATAATAGAAGCTTAACACACTTTAGCAGTTGTTCTACCTCACTTGAAATGTGTCATATAATAATAGAAGCTTAACACACTTTAGCGGTTGCTAAAATTTAGGGATGAGATGCTCCAAGGCCTCAACCAAAATCAAATCCTCCAATAATATATAGTACACTTTCATATACTTTTCTTCTTTTTAAATTTGCTGCCTTCTCCTTGAATTTCGGTAAGGGTACAATGGTAATTGCCTGTAAATAAATCTTTTGCTATTTGCTAAAGGTGGCTTTTTGCTGAACTTCTATTTAACGCACTAAAAATTTGAATTATTCGCCCTAACCAGATTGCATCATTGCACGAACAATTTTGCCCCTGAATTAAAAATCAAACTCATCCTCTTCATTCTTCCCCATCGTCGACTCGTCCGCTTCCCCTTCTTCCCTCCCGGCATCAACTACGGCCGCCGCCCTATGCTCCACCAAAGCTCAATTGCCGCCGCCCTCTGCTCCACCAAAACTCAACGAAATGGACACCCTTCCCCTTCATTCATCCCCATTGTCGATCCACCCCCTTAATTCCCCGTCTTTCATCCAGAAATTGACTAGCGCCGCCGCCAACTACTCTGTCGAAACTCAATTGCCTCCACCTCACCTTTGCTGCGTTATATATGTCAGCCCGCCACCTATGATCCGCCGTTGCAAGAAGCAAATCGGTCGCTTACACCCAACTCCCTCTGCCGCTGTCTAGAGAAGGAACGAAGAACAAGCAAACCGAACCGTTGTGGACTGGTTGCGGGTCGTACATGGATGCGGGTCAAGTTCCGGTTGTGGATTGGAATGCAGGGCGGAGCAGAACCTAGTTAGGGATGACAATGGTTCGGGGACGGATAGTGCATATCTGTTACCCTACCCAAAGTAGTTTGGGTTTTACCCATACCCATACGCACATAAGAAATGGGTAGAAAAATCAAACCATGCCCGTACCCATTCGGGTTTCGGGTATCCACGGTTATCCATGGGTAGTAGTTTCTCTTTATAAGTCCAACCAATATGTTAATATTCACACGTATTCTCACGTTATGTAAGACGAAAAGTACGACAATAATTCTAATGAAGAAAAGTAATTAAAAGAACACAATTTCATAAAAATATTATATTTATATGCTAGATAGAAAATATGTTAGAGAAAAATATTGGTTATTTCTAGACAAAATACATATGCATGTGTATAATCGGGCGGGTTCGGGTTGGATAATGAGAAATCATGCCCACCCATTACCCGTAACATTCGGGTTCGAGTTTTACCCGTACCCACTAAAAGTTCTCCGGGTTCGGGTTTTACCCTACCTGATTAGGTCGGATTCGGATGGATATCCACAGTTACGGGTATTTTTGTCATCCCTAAACCCAGCTATAGCAGAGGTTTGCGGCGGCGGCAGTGGGTGGGACGGAACCAGTTGGCTAGCGACAGTAGAGGTACCCGGCGGGGCATGATTATTTCCTCTCTTCTATGTCCTCAAGCGGTGCAGTGTAAGGCCCGCGGCAGTGACGGGAAGAATCATAGGGCGAAACTTGGTTAGGGATTGAGAATAAGTTGGCGATAAAATTATCGGATTAGATAATTTTAGGGCGACAAATTTAAAAAGTTAGGACGTTAATTAGTAGCTCCCGATTTTTGTGGTTTCACTAGGGGGAACGGATCAGGTCAGTAACCTTATGGTGAGTAACTAAGAGTAACCTGCACACATCAGCATGACATCAACATCCTCTCTCTTTTGGAAAGCCTTTAATTTTCCCCTCCTTAATTTTTGACGGACGATTTCTCACTCGTTTTAAGTCGAAATTTAATTTTTTTTTTGCACAGTTAGATCAGATTAATTGTGCTCTTCAAAATGATATCCACTTTGATATATTTTTCGAACAAAACAAATTGAGCCATTTTTTACCAGTCTATACCATATGGTATTGACTGGTATTGAAATAAGAGCATACCAGCATACCTATGGTTTGAAAAGCGTACCATGGTGGTATGACACAAACCAAAACTGTAGGATGGTTGAATACATGATAGTAGAAGTATATTAATTGTCATTTACGGCTTTTAACATTGTATACCATAAGATACCACCCTGTACCAAGGTGGTATTGTATGGTATTGTGTGGTATTTTTTGGTCTTGTAATTTGTTCACTCAGAAATTTGTAGATCCAATAGATCATGATATACTCGTCCCTGCTTTGCAAACGTTTTCAAAAACGAATTAAAAAAGAATAAGATACCATATGGTATGCAGTTGGTACCGAGAGGTCAAAAATTTTTTTTCCTCAAAAAATATTGAAAATGATCTCATTTTGTAAAGCACGTTGAACTCGTTCCATCTATGCAAAAACAAAAAAATTAAAATCCGAGTTAAAACGAAAATAATATGAGTCAATTAAGAAAGCTAGTGAAAATAAAAATGGTTTTTAATTCTCCATTCGCAGATCTGGATTTTCTAAATGAAGGGTCCAGATTTGGTTATTGATGGGTGCATAACCCATGGTTATGCACCCTAACTTGAGCCGTTACCTAAGGGAACGGATCAGGTCAGTAACCTTATGGTGAGTAACTATGAGTAGCCCGCCCACATCAGCATGACATCAGCATCCTCTCTCTCCTGGAAAGCTTTTAATTTTCCCCTCTTTAATCTTTGACGGACGATTTCTCACTCGTTTTAAGTCGAAATTTAATTTTTTTTGCACAGTTATATCAGATTAATTGTGCTTTTCAAAATGATATCCACTTTGATATATATTTCGAACAAAAAAAATTGAGCCATTTTTTACTAGTCTATACTATATGGTATTGACTGGTATTGAAATAAGAGCATACCTATGGTTTGAAAAGCGTACCATGGTGGTATGACACAAACCAAAACTGTAGGATGGTTGAATACATGATAGTAGAAGTATATTAATTGTCATTTACGACTTTGAACATTGTATACCATAAGATACCATAAGATACCACCCCGTACCAAGGTGGTATTGTATGGTATTGTGTGGTATTTTTTGTTCTTGTAATTTGTTCACCCAGAAATTTGTAGATACAATAGATCATGATGAACTCGTCCCTACTGTGCAAATGTTTTAAAAAACGAATTAAAAACGAAGAAAATACCATATGGTATGCAGTTGGTACCGAGATGCAGAATTTGTTTTCCTAAAAAAATATTGAAAATTAATCTCATTTTGTAGAGCACGATGAACTCGTTCCATCTGTGCAAAAAAAATTAAAATCCGAGTTAAAACGAAAAAGATATGAGTCAATTAAGAAAGCTAGTGAAAATAAAAATGACCTTTAATTCTCCATCCTTATATCGGGATTTTCTAAATGAATGGTCCAGATTTGGTTATTGATGGGTGCATAACCAACTTGAGCCGTACCCCTTATGAAACATACTAGGAAACAAGCGGATTTAGTGCATAACCATATAAAATTTAGGTAGACATTTAAAAAAAAAAATAGGCGATGTTGGGTCGTCTTATTCTCGGTTCAACCATGATTGACAATTTTTTCAATAGAAATTTTAATAGAAGGGCATGTTTGATAATTTTTCCAAAGTACAGGGGCATGTTAGATGTAAAAAATAATAAAGGGGCATGTTTGATAAAACGACATAGTATAGGGGTATATTATACCTATAACCCTAAAAATAAAGGTGATACCACTATACCAGGATGGTAACGAGTGATATGAAATTTATTTCCTCGAAATATATTGAAATTAGCAGATCGTTTGGTACCAAATGAATCGAGAATTCATTTCATTTTAAAATGAATTACCATCCTGCGTTTGGTACGTGATATTCAAATCTTTAAAAATAATGAATTTAATTCCAAACCATGTTTGACATACGTTTGAATGGAATTAAACTAAAAGTTTCGACTACATCCTTATTAATTTCCTGCATAAACAATATTCATTGTAATCCATCTTCTAAAAATGCTATTGGTCCTATAAGTAGAATATCAGAAGTGTTCTTATGTGTTTCTATTCTATTCATTAGTTCTTTTTTAAATATTTTATCGATGAACCCTGCACTCTAATTGTGTTTTCTCAACGTAGTGATACAATTGAAGCATAAATATCAAATAACCATGTGCTACTGGCGTTGCAATCAAATTCTTGTCGACGTTTCACATACTGTTGAGTTGACGCCAAATAATATTTGTAGAAGTAATTTAGTTAATAAATGGAAATAATTATGTCATTTTATTATAATTAGTAAATACTTGTGAAATTCATTTGAAAATTCCATCTCAATTCTTAGGAATTGCTATAACTAGTTCCAATTCCGTATAATTCAAAATTTAGAATTGAAAATGAATTCTTTTAAATACCAAACCCAAAAAATTTTCATTTTAAAATGAATTTCTCAAAATTTATGAAATTCATTTATACCAAACGGCATGTAAGTTTACAATGAGCAAACGAATATAAAAATTAATTAAATAATTCCTAAACATACTAGGAAGTAGGAATAGGGTGGATCCGGCATATAAAAAGAGAAAGGAACAGAGTGAAGAAGGAAAACGGCAGAGCGCCATGGCGTCCTCCGCCGACTCTGCTTGTTCACAACAGAAAGCCAAGAAAGCGAAGATAGAAGTAGAAGAGAAAGATAGGCTTAACGAATTACCAGGGGAAACCCAGCGTATCATTCTGTCTCTCTTGCCCTTCAAGGATGCGGTCAAGACTTCAATACTCTCAAGAAGCTGGGCAAATCTATGGGAATCGGCCGTCACAAAGCTGGATTTCGACGAAACAAACCTATCGACGAAGAGAAGGACCCAGTTCAGAGAATGGATCAAGCGGTTTGTAGCAAGGCAGCAGCGAAACGACGATGCCTCCTCCCCAATCCCAAAACAACAATTGAAAAAGTTTAGGGTTTCATTCCAATTGGCGAATCAATGCTGTTCCAATGGGGATGTTGATTCATGGGTCAAGTTCGCATTGTCGAAAAGGGTCGAGTCTCTCGACCTCTCCTTCGTTTCGTGCCGATACTACCACCACAACTACGTTTTCCCCTGTGCGAATCACATCAAAACCCCAACTGGGTTGTCCGAGATCAAGCCCCTGAGATCATTGCGATTTAGTCATGTCGACGTCGACGACGAGACGATTCAACACTTGATCTCTAATTGCCCTCACCTCGAAGAGCTAGCTGTAACCATGTCAGATTCACTAGTAACTCTCAGTATTCCTGCTGCTGCTGCTGCTGCTGCTGCTGCATTGAAGCGCTTGGAACTGAGGGACTGCAGGCTTCTAAAGTCCTTGGAGATAGCTGATGTCCCATCGCTCACCCACTTCACGCTCTTGGGCTTGGGTTATTATCAGCCGATGGAACTACGTATGGAGAAATTTGCTACTCTGGTGGATTTGAGGATCAACATTAGGGAAGACGATGTTACATTTGCTTTCATCTCCAGCCATGCTGCTCAGTTGGCGGCTCTTGCGATGCGAGTAGAGTCGGAAGGCTCGTGGTTTCCCAATGTAGTTGAATTCACCCGTCTCGAGGTGCTGGAGGTTGAAACAGAAGGCGGTGTCTTCAGCAACGTTATCCGCTTGATCGCGCTGATAAACGCTTGTCCTCGATTGCACACACTGCGACTGTCATTCAAAAGATTCGAACAGGAAAGGATCATATTACAACATCCAAATGTGGACAGAGTAAGTAGGGAGAGCATCAGAGTGGTGGAAATTAGTGGGTTTCGTGGTTGTTGGACTGATTCCCACTTTGTGCAGTATGTGCTTGGGTACTTCGTGGGGCTCGAGAGAATCGTCGTTCATTGCAATAATAAGGTAGGTTACGTAGCAAAACAACAGGCTCGGGAGTTCAAATCTAGAGTATCCCCTGCAATCGACTTTGTTATAATGTAGATGTTTATGGATTCATCATTGACCTTCATCTGGTAGTGTGCTGTCAAGATCAGTACGCTATTTTCTATGCTTTTCATCGGCTTGGTTCCTTTGGTAAAAGCTTGTCGTCGGTTGCACACATTGCGTCTGTTGATCAGAATGGGTCGAGAAGATGGGTTATCAATTGCAGTAGTTAAGTGGATTATGTAGCAAAAGAACGTGCATTAGCTCGACAGTCCAGAGCATCCCCTGAAATCTGACTTTGGTTTTACTTTAGATGTAAATGCATCATTTTAGCTTTACTATGAGTTTTCTGGCTTTGCAATGCTATGCACTTAGCAATGTCATAAAATCTTGACTTTATAGACTGAAGGGCAGGGATATTTGGCTATTTGAAGGAGAAAGTGGATCCTGGAATTGGTTAAAACTTCTCAGAACTCGACCTCAAGTACATGGTATCCTCGGATCCTTTCTTGCAGCAGGTTTCAATGTCAGTTCAGCTAAGTTCTTCATAGAAAGGGTTTTGGTTTTGGATGCAGCCGCGACAGTCCAAGGTTGAATGGTATAATATGCTTATATGGAAAGTTCCTGGTACTTCTAAAAATTGGTTTGTGATGTGGATGATACTGCTAAACCACATACAAACCAGAGGTGAATTGTCGAAACGGGGATATATAAGCTCGGTTAAATGTGTGTTTTGCAGAAGTCCATTGTTCATGAAGGTGCTATGAAGGGTGTAGACTGGACTGGTTGGTGAAACAAGTTAGGGCTGAGGTTAAATGTATGAGTGAAGAAAAAATGTCCTCTGCTTTTGGTTCTAGTGTCTTTATGTTGATTTTGCCTAAAGTTCCATATGGCGCGTTTGATTTTCTTGTTCAAATAGAATTGTAGTTCTTGTATTTGCTTACCTATGTGGGGGTGTTGTCATAGTAACTTCAACTTTTGAGGATATATAACATCAAACCATGCATAATTTTTTATACTTTATGTGAAAAAAGAGGGGGAAATATTCGATAATTATAAACTAATTTATTAGCTTTATGGTCGGGAATTGATATCAGAATATATTTGAAAACCATTTCTAACTCAACCATATTTCGAACTCAAAATTATTTGGTTCATGATTTGCCCCATTCCCAAAGGAGGTGGATCTTATTTATCACGTCTTGTTCTTGATCAACTTTATCTCTATTTTCTTATATACTTATTTATATTTATCTTATAGCTTAATCATTTCTCCATTCTTTCAATTAGAGGTAATTTCCTTCATTTATTATTATGTTTTTTTTACAAAAGATAATCATATATTGATTGAAGAAGAGATCGAACAAATTACACCCTAGGATGCAACCAGGTTAAAAAATTAAAGGAACAACATGTTGTCGGATACAAAAAAAAAGTGCCTTATTAGCTATCAAATGGCCTACTCACTTTGGTCTTTTAGAACCATCCACGTGAGATCCCTTCCTCGTCGCCCCATTCCACATGCAAATGATCGAGGTTGGCTCACCCGATGACACGCTCCCCACTTGGGGAATGGGAGGCAGGACCATTCTGTCTGCTGGTAAGCCAATCCATTCCAACAGTTGTTGCTCATACTGCCGCATCAAAGATTGGACCCGAAATTGCTTACCTTTAAAAGCAACCCAATTTCTGGATCTCTAAATCCCCCAGAGCACTGCTACAAAGACCATGCTTTGATGGGGTTGATTGAGGAGGCCCAACAATTTCTTAAGGAACAAATGAAAAGTTTGGATAGGAAGACCTTGGCCAAGATGCTCTAAACCAGAATGATCCAAAATTGTCCTCGCGATTGGGCAATGGGCACTCTAGAAAGAGGTGCTCCATTGTCTCCAAATTTGCAAAGCATACTGGACATTTAGGTAGCACTTAAACATCCTTCTCAACCAGAGCTTCCGTAGGAGGAAGAATGTGGTGGAAAATCTGCCAGAGAAAGACTTTCATTTATTACTCACTTTTATGTTAATAAAATCTTTAGTGCATCTATTAGCCAATAATGTTTGGTTATTCACTTACAACATTAAATATATGTTTCCTTACAAAAGTATTATATTTTCTTATACTAGCTTATAACCCGGCCCGTTGGCCGGAATGTTCATATTTCATTATTTGTATTTTTTATGTTACATTTAAGTCTATCAACCTGTTTAATTTTATTGGCAATTCTTCGATCGAGATGATACATAAAGAAAAAATATATATGTCGAACTTTCGGAGAAATAAGAATATAAAATATAAAAATGTATCATTGATTTCATTTTTATAATGATCGATAATTAAGCCCCAATTAAAATGCTATTGGTTAGTTGATTATCAACAAAGATAAAGTACAAAAGCTCACGGGAATTCCCACACGACCCATAGATAGCTTGAAACTCAATCTTAAACCTCACAATTCTACATAAAGGGTTCAATGCTCTCCTTTTAGGAACAATATGTCACTAATCAAAAAGAAATGGAGAGTTGTTGATTCAAGTCAACTATATACTAACAACTCAGTTAAGAGGGGACCAATAAAACTTGAGAGCAAACGACAAAATTAGGGTTACCTCTAATATGCTAATAGATTCGATCGAAGTAATAAGGCACAAAATTAGACACTCCTTATCTATAAGTTACAGTAGGTTGAATAAAGAATCGACCTAGATGCAAAAACCATAAACCTAAAGGTCCAATAGTCACCACTCTCCGTTGTACAACCAAATTTTTATCTCAAGAGGCATATGTTTCAATCAAAAATTCAATCTCTAATCCTCCTTCTACAACTCCATTTATTGAACTCCATTCTATTCATCATGGATTGATATCGGAGTTGAAATCTTCTACTTGCCTAGCTTAAAACTATTGCACGATTGGTTGTGATTGTGATTGTTGTCTTTTTTAAGAGATATGGGTTCGAATTCTCATATTGATATTTTTTATATGAGATAAATAATTAATTGTAAAGACAAAAATATCTTTTTTACTTTCACTCTCGTTGCAGGAAATTTGAAATGAAGAAAAACTCACAAAACTCTATCATATATTATTGGAGGATTCCTACAATCAATTTGCATCACACGTAACTAGACCATTGATTGTTTTTATGTTTTGAAATAAAATTTTGCACGTCACTTTCAAGAATAATCATTGTATTCCCACAAAGTCATGTAAACTACTCAGTTTATAAGCTGTAATACACCACTGAAAATCCAAAACTATTGATGAAGATATTTTTTATTAGAAAAACTCATTTATGTGAGTGGGTCGAGCGCGAGACCAACGAGCTTCTTCTTCTCCGCTTGAACTGAAGAATTTTGTTTCCTACAAAAACCCTAATCGACACAGTTGGTGATCGAGTGAAGGAACACAGTTCTGAGAAGGTGTTTCGATTTTGTGCACGAAATGAATATTGAAAATAATCAACAATAAACACCAGACGAAAATATAATTAGCTAAAGCAACTTTGGGCTTGAAGCCCACTTGTTGGTTCTCTGGTAAGCTGGGCTTAAGCCCTGTCAAAACTTCCTTAGGCCTGTCTACTGCTTCTCTTCTTCAATCGAGTTCCCTTCCCTGCTTCGACGATTTCCCTGTACCTGAACAAGAAAAACAAACACACAAGCAGAGACTACACCACAGCTCGAAATTGAAGATCACAGACACAACGCCACAGTTTTTACGTGGTATCCGATATTGGGAGAAAAGAATCCCAATATCGACTAATCCACGGTAGGAACCACTCCTCTTGAGGATTCCTACGAATCTACTAGATCGTTGCCTTGATCGTGATTACAAGGACAGAGTTTAGGATGAACAGCTCCCTGCCTATCGTCCTAACCCCAAAGCTGAGAACTAATCTCCCCGATTGTTCACTCAGCACTACTAGCTATTCTCTCCGATTAGCAACCCAGTTTTCTATCAAAAGTCTGACTTTTTTCACTAAGCACTCTGTTCTTTTGATTTGCCCGAAAACCATGCTGCTACATTTCTCAACCTCATGGTTATATAGTCTGCTCTCTTCAAAGTAGTCGTTGTCTGATTGATGTTTGAATTGCTGTGATTTAGCTCCAGGTTTCCTTCTTTGAGACTTTCCATCTTGGTCTTGATTTGATTTGTTGATTCTTTCCTCATTGACGAGCTTCCCATAACATGCTCCCCCTAAGCTTGTCAATGGCTCTTCCCACTGCACTGGTTTCTTTCCTGCACACACTCAACAAACTTTTGGTGCAGTCTGTTCTTATGCAAAAGTGCTGGCCAATGTGACAAGGGAAGTTTTTATTCCTGATTAATTATTTCAACCGAACTACAAGCTTCGAAATTCAAATCAACAATCGATCAACAAGAACATCAATAAGAACACTGACTCAATACTGACTCCATTCAAACACAGACTTAAACGAACTACCAGACTTCCCTAGTCAGCTTGTGACTCCCCCTAAGTACCACCATTGAATCTCTAGAAAGGATAACCAGGAGGTGACTCATAGTCTGAGATTTCATCATCAGAGCTCGAGTCAGGAGTGATTGGGTCAAAGTCGTCTGGAGCAGGCCTTGCTTCATCAAACTCCATGAGTTCCAACCGTTCTTTGCAGACCAGGAGACTAGTAGTCTTTCCACTACCAGTTTCCCTTCTTTGTTTGACCTCACCATCTATAGCTGAGACAGCAGCTTGAGTTAGAGCGGGAAGAAGGCTGTCAGGGATGGGATCAGCAGGAGAGAAAATGGGGCAGTGGGCAGTGTCTCCCCCTGAGCCAGAGACGAGCTTACGGCGGCCCACGTCGGCATCAAGGCGAACGAGAACATGATTGGGACGCAAGTCCTCATGAACGTTGCACACAGCCACCTTATCCCGGAGATCTATCCCTAAGCGATGCAGATAGCGAGTAATGGGAGGTCCAAAGGGTAGAGCACCATTGTAACCGCCACCGCCAAACTTGAGTATGTGAGAGAACATTAATGATGCATAGCTGATTGGTTGGCGAGCACAAGCATTACTCAGAATCCAGAGATCATCAGAGTGG